GAAAAGAACCCAGCCTGGGAGACAAATGAAAAGAACTGGGAGACAAATGAAAAGAACTGGGAGACAAATGAAAAGAAGTGGGAGACAAATGAAAGGAAGTGGGAGAACCCGACCACAAGCACCCAGCCTGGGAGACAAATGAAAAGAAGTGGGAGACAAATGAAAGGAAGTGGGAGACAAGCCAGCCGCGAACCCGACCACAAGCACCGATCTTGGGAGACAAATGAAAAGAACTGGGAGACAAATGAAAGGAAGTGGGAGACAAGCCGGCCGGGAACCCGACCAGACCATCCAGCACCAAGGCGACCATTCTTTAAAGCATTGAGAACCCCCAACAGTAAACTGTTTGGGGAAAAAGAACAAAACAACGTTCTCGAGACAAGTCGCCCATATTCTTCTCGTCAAAGTCCAGTTGACGCTGGGCCAATTCCAAATGGTATTCTTCAGAGTGGTACCAATGCTGCATCTCCTCAACACAATAGTTATATACCAGGAACGTTCGGAAGACTCAAAGTCGCAAAAAAGCTCCTGTGATAGCTGTTGCTGACCCTGTTGTCGCTCCAGGAGCTTGGCTTTGAGGGCTGCGGCTTCCCCTTCCTCCTAGCCATGAGCCCATGCTCTCACAAAATTCATCCTTTCTCTTTTTGATCTTTCCTCTCTCTCGCTCGCTTCCCATCACCCTCAGGTCATCCCACAATCTACGTCTGGCATTTCTCCGTTGTCCTCCTCGATCTCTGCCAATGCCTTTGAAGACTTCAGCTTGAAGATCCGAAGCTGCTCCTGGCTTGTCACGGGTGACCCTGCAAAAAGGGTGCCATGTGGCACCACCGGAGTGCTATGCTGTCAGTGACGCGACATGCGACATGCGACATACGAAGCTGTGAAGCATGCCTGAAGCTGAGCATTCTGTCGGCTAAAGGAGGCAGCAGAAGCCTCCTCGCCCTCCAAGTTGGCCTCCAAAACCTGTGAACGGCTTGCCACGGCTCTTGCCACGGCTGTGGCAGTCCCGCAGAATCAAGAATGTACATCAAACATTGTAAAGCATGAAATCCGCACCTCACACCGAAATCGCCCAAGCCTGCTCCTCGCTCAGTGCTCGTGCAGCAAAGGTCTCCACTTCCTGCACAGTGCACGAAAGACTTGGAAATGCTCAGTAGCTGCTTCTCAAATCTCTCCCTTCTAGCAGACTGGCACGCTGGCGAAACAAAAAGAACCAAACCTCCAAACGAAGGGCTGCCGATCTGCAGCGCTGCTCAAGTGTATCAGCCACCTGCCATGCTGGTCGGTCAGGGCCTACCATGTGCCACCAGTTCACAACAGCGCAGTCATAGTCGGTCGGCTTGGCAGGGGTTCTCCACGGTGTGGCACTGATGATATCCTCAATCATTCCAACTTTAAACGTTATACACGACTTCTCGCCTAGATCGATGCAGAAACTGTGGATATGCACGCAAAATCACGCAACCATTCCAGCACAGGCACCCCGCAACAAAAACATGAAAAAACAAACTCACTTCTCCGACCTTCCTCATGATTTCCTCTCCAAAACTCCATCAGTTCTTCTGCACCAACTCTCAACACCAGCATACACCATATCCGTCCGCGCACCTCTGTGGCCTTCAGGATGCCCGTCTTGGCCACCTCGAGCGTGCGCCGCCGCAGCTCCACCTTCCCCTAGGCACAGCGGTGGGTCCGAAAGCACCGCATGACGATGAATGAAAACATGCTGCTTTTTCTTTAGGGGGAGTCGGCCGTAGAGGTAGGTTTGCTAGGTAGCTACTAACTGTAAGTAAGTTACCACTGACAGGAGGCAGGATAGCTCGCGCTAATGATTTGGTTCCTAGATTCTTAGGGAAACTTATAACTAGTAGCGATATATCATTCTGTCTGTGTGTTGGACATTTCTGGCACATGGACCAGTGAATTGAGGTGGCAAGGAACATCACTATAAACCTCACCTACCATCATGTGTGCAGGGGTCCCCAGCATGGCTTTAAGTGGCTGTGGTCCAAGGGCCAACAATATTTTGGTTTGGAGCTTGGAGTGAAACTCTGTTGTAGCGGCAGCCACGTTTTCAACCCGAAAGAACAAAGCTAAAAAAGCATGCTTCCATGTTCACGTTGGTGTCTGGTTCCGTGGCACCCAAACTGAAAACCGCGGAACCTCCAGCGACTGTTTGGTCTTGAGCATCTGGTGCTCCTGGCGCAGACAGAGAGAGAGAGAGAGGCAAAGAATGCCCTTGTTACTAGTAGCGATGCACTTGCTACTAGTAGCAGCACTTGTTACTACTGTACTAGCGATGCCCTTGTTACTAAGTAGGGAGGGGGTGAGCAGTGAGCGGGCTAAAAGAACAACAAACTTGTTGCTAGTAGCGATGCACTTGTTACTAGTAGCTTCAGTCCATAAGGCCTGTGCTTCCAAAGTGTCCAATTCGCTGGAGGCCTTCTTCAGAAAGTCCTGGTCGATTCATGTCTGGCGTCGCATGGAAAGGAATCCGTGTCAGGGCAAGAATCAAGGAGATACTGCCTGAGGTACTGAGTGCTGAAACATTTAATTATAGCTATAATTAAACAAATTACATGAAATTACTATATAAGTTGTTTGTTACTAAGAAGCTTCAAAGACATACTAAAAAGCTTCTTGTTGCTACAGGTGGCACGATTCCCAAGGAAACGTTGGTCATTACTATAAAGTTTTGCTGCTTTTCTGGGTCCTCCAAGTTGGAATCTTTCTTTCGCCTCCAGGCCTCAGCCTCAGCCTGCATCTCAGCTGCATGAATCTCATGCTCATGGCTGAGCTTCTGCAGTGCCGTCTCTTCGGTTTTCCTTGCCATTTGCTCCACCAAGGACTCCATCCGTTCATCCTTCTCGTCTCGAAGATTCTTGGCGGCAAAGAGCTCCGCTTCGGCTTTCACATACTCACGTTCACTTTCCTGGGTGAGTGTGAGCTTTGCAGCCAACTCTTGGGCCAAAAGAGTTTGTTGTTCCATCACACGCCTTCTGTCCTCCTCCGCGCGCACCTCTTCGGCGAGCCGCTGTACACCAGAAAGCACCTTTGGCTCTGCTTGCTCTTCCCAAGGGGTGGCCACTTGGCCCTCACGGAGCCATCGAAGATGATTCAAGACCGAGCGCCGGAAGACCAAGTGACGTGGACCTTTACGACTACGATGGAAGAAGGCCTTCTCCAGCATGGCTCCATCCAATGCGGCAACTTCATTCCCATCGACTGCAGTGAGAAGGTCGCCTTGACGGATGCCTTTGTGGTGCTCCCAAAATTGAACTGCCTGAGGCAGCGCCTTCTGCACCTCGACTCGCCAGCCCTTGGAGCCGGTCTCCGGGTGGAGGATGAGTCGCAAGCCAAGGAACTCCAGATATTGGCGTCCAGAAACATCGTCAGTTCTTCTCCTGCAAAACTCTTCAAACTCCTCCTCTGCCTTACCCTGAATTATGCAGATGGCATCTCGCGCAGGATACTGCAAAGGCACAACGAAGCTGGGCTCATCATCCCCAGAAGGAGACAAGGTACTTGGCGGCCTCAGATTTGGGGCCACTGTGGCCACAGCCTCTATTTACATTCAATGCATTTCAGCTTCCTTAGGCCTTAGGCCGTTCCCCCCTGTTCTGTATGGATCTGAGTCTCGGACACTGAAAATCCCGATTGTGCAGACTTGGCCGACCGTGCTGACCGAGGTGAGGCCGTCCCCTGGATTCGTGGGTGCGGGCGATGTGCCGCAGGGAGCACCGCACGTGGCTTTCCGTCTCCGAAGGCTGGGTGAAGTGCCTCCTGCGGCGTGCCCTCTGGAGCTCTCAGCGTTCCTAGGCCCTTGACACTCAAAGGCGGAGGTGCGGACGATTCGCCGAACTCCTTCGTCAGCCGCGCCCTGAAAAATGACCAAAGCACGACCAAGATAAGAAACAAAATAACATCCCAAGAAAAGGCCACTGGAGTCCTCCCAAACATTCTCAAACAACCTGCGCACAAAAGAATGGAAACAGTGTGTGTGTGTGTCCCACCCTGGACAAAGGGTCTTACCCCACCACTTTTCCACAGGCAGGGGGGCAGTGAGTCTCATTCCATCCACTGCCCAACGAAGACGGTGGTTTGAGACTGTGACATTCGGAGAGGACGCTCTCTGAAGGTACCTGCTGAGGTCTTTCACAAGCTGTCACCCTACTTTTCCACGATTTGATTCATGGTGGTTCCACATGATACTTTCCCCACAAACAGGTTTCCCACTGCACTGCAGCTGCTGACCGCCGCCTCCATTTGCGCTTGTCGTGGAACCTGTGTTAAACAATACATTTTAAGCTGACCTTTCCACCTTGCCGTTCCATCGCCTTCTTTCCCATTGAGACAATTGCGTTAACTGAAAATCCAAGTTCGAAGTTCGAAGTGTTGCCATGTATTGCCTGGCCTAGTCTATTTGTCCACCCAAACGGGAAACACATGGACTGCACATATCACATTTCGCATATCCTCGCGTGCTAAACAGCCATGGCTCGTTTTCGGTCAGTGTGCTTGTCCGGCAAGGCAAGCTGCCCTATCCCATGGCACCCTGCTCACAATCTGGTGCAGTGCACAGGCTCCGCAGCAAAGAGCATACTGAGCATCATTAAGCAGGCAAATACATATCATTGGTGCACATATTTGCACTGCACCCAGAAGGAAACCTTCTGCTTTCCTGAAGGCAACACTCAAAGAAACAGTGTATACTGCTTGCACCTCTCTCTCTCTCTCTCGCTCAGTCTCCCTCTATCTCTTCATCTTGTCAATTGCACGATGCTCGTGCACACGCTCCTTGATCCAGCAGGACAAATGGCAATGGACAAACAAACACTTTCCGGTCGCACCTTCAACTAAGTGACTGAGTGGCTCTCCACAGCGATTTCTAACAGCCATCGAACTATTCCCACCTCTCTCACCATCTGGATGCGCTTTCGCAGGACCAAGCTGCTCTCCCCAGGCAGCTTTCAGATCCGTTCGGGTGCAACGCCCAGATTAGGCGCTGCGCCACTGGCACGACCACTCAACACTTTGGCCGTGTGGTGCTCATAAATGCAAAAACCAAGCGGTGACACGGTGAAACGGAAAGATACAAGGGCGGCTTTGTCTGGGTCTTATAGGCCAGCTCGCCCGCAAAGCTACGCATGTGGACACACGTTTCGGCGACGGGGCCCTCAGACATGGCAGCCATACCTGGCCAAATGAGAAATCCCATGAAATCCCTATCCCGAGGCGGGTATGGGTAGCAGGCTAGTACCGGCAAAAACTAAAGCCGATTTGGCATGATTTTGGTCGAGAACACATATCCTCAAAACTGTGGACTTCCCGGTGGTTGGCGGAAGTCGTTGAATTCAAAGCAAAATGATTGATGTTCTTCTCCCTCTGTCGGGCCACTCGATGGAGAAAAAGTGCGGCCCGGATGCCGCAATCACTGGATAGACCGGACCTATGCAACGAGGAGCTTGCGCAAGGACACGAACGCGTAAGGCACAAACATGCACAAAACATCGCACAACCCACGAAGTGAGACACACAAGACATCACAAGACACTCCAAGCCCGTGTGCAATGTGCTCGAGGCTGTGTCGTGCATCATCGCACACTTCTCAGGCATGAATCACATGAATTTACTGTAACTCGTGATCTGGTAAAGGCCTAGCATTCTGAATTGACACGAATAAGTCTGAGTCATGCAAATGCAACACGCGCACTGTCATTGTTCACTCACTGACAAACTCTAATTGATCATGCTCCTGCGCCCTCCGGCCAACAAAAACAGCTCTTTTCCTAACTCTTGCACGTCGATTAGGCACTCTTGTCCTCAAAAAGCGCTCGAGCGCTTTGCGCTTTGTATAGATCCCTAATCTGTCTCGGCTTCTCTGTTCTATTCACAGGGAAGCGAGCCGTTTGGCAGGCCTAGGTCCAATATGCAACCTTTCTCTCCCGTGGTTTTTCCCAGTCCCAGCTCTGGGAGGTTTTCTTGGAGTCCCATTTGCTCCAACTACTGTTGTCATCTTCCCACCAATTGTTGTCATTCCAGTCAGAGCTTCTGCTACCTCTGCTGTTTCTGCCCTTGCCTTTGCCCCTTCTGCCATCAGTCCAAGTGGCGGACTTGAAATAGTCACCAAGGGTGCGCCAATCGGCAGCTGCAGCCCAGTCATCTTCGGCATCATCATCCTGTGGATTCACAGTGGACTTCGGTGCCTTTGCTCTTGGCTTCTCCTCAAGAAGCTCATAGTACTTGTCATGGGGCCATTTTCCATCATCATCTGCCGTTGGCTCTTTGGACTCCTTGTCTTTATCTTCTCTTTTTCCTTTCTGCTTCGGCTCTTCCTCCTTCTTCTCGCCTTCCTCCTTCACCTCCTGTCGCTCATCGTGGAGGAAATAGCGATTGTCACGGGGGACGTTCTCGGGACCTCGATTTCTTTCGGTTCTTTCCGTTCTCTCGACCTTATCGGTTTTCTTTTCCCACTTCTCTTTTGATCTAGGCTTCCATGTCCACTCACTCTCATCTGATTCAGCATCCAAATATTCCTCAGCCGGCTGAGCAGGCAATTCTTCATCAGCATCAGCCTCTTTTGAAGCCTTCCCTCTGGCCTCCTCCTCCTCCTCCTCCTCCTTCTGCTCGGCTCTGTCGACCTTCACTTCTTTTGGATCTTCATTCTTTCCCTTCTCCTGGGCCTCCTTATGTTCCTCATCCTGCTTGTCCCCCGTAGCGTCCTTCTGCTTTTTCTCTACTTCCTCATCACTAGAGAACTGGGATCCAGCGCTTCCAAAGGCATCGTCATCATCATCCTCCTCGTTACGGCGACGGCCCATGGCGTCAATGCTGCCGGCTATCCCGCCGCCTTCGTCTGGTGCCAAACAGCGGTACATCCAATGGCTGTGTTGCAACGGAAAGAAGGAAAGTCTCTTAGTATATAGTAGTAGCACTACTGGCAGCTTCTTGTTCCGTTCGTAGCGTTCTTGCTCCTAGTAGTACGGCCAGGAGCCCCTAGTAGCGTCCTTGCTCCTAGTAGCGATGCCCGTTGCTACTAGTACTAGTTACTAGTAGCTTCTTGTTCCTACGCAAATCGTTTTGAGCAGTCCAGCCATGTTGTGGCGCTGCCCCAACGCATGCCCAGGAAGAAGCAAGCATGCAACATGAACATCTTTTGTGGAAGACTGAGGGGGTCAGTCAGACCTGGAATACTCGAAGATCTCCTGATTCCACATCTGATCAGCAGAGCGCCTTCATGCGTCATCGCAGCCGACCAACATCGCCCACCCCGGTCTGCAATGTACCTGCAGGTTGGCCCATCTGGTCAAGGTGGCATGTCATGTCATGTCCATGTGTTCGTTTACGAGCTGTTTGTGCTGTCTGGGGGCACGTAATCGTGCGGGCTGGGAAGTCCAACACGATGGAAAACCTTTGGAGCTTTGTTGTTTTGGTGCAGTTGTCTTCATTGAAGTTCTGTCGGCTCTCTTTGCTTACAAATTGAATCTGGCTGAACAACCTCTTCAGAAAATCTTATCCTTGGCACCAAAAATGCCCTCCTAATTCTTGGAGCTCCTGCTTCATGGCATCCGTGGAGGACAGGTCTTCCTCCCAGGCCACCTGAGTGCATAATCATGCGTTCATGTGTGAAATAGCACTCGAGAAAGCACGCATAGTGGCCATCAAGTGGTTCTAAGTTCCACACATAGCGACCCTCTGTCACCACATCCCTCTTCACGCCAAAGACGATGCAAGACCTCCAAACGACAAAAAACGAAGACGGTCGACGTCAGCGTCGGTCTGCGAGCTTTCTCCTACGGCGGCGTGAACGGTCTCTGAGCTCCTGGCGGCCAGTCCAAAAATCTCGCCGACGGCTCCTGCGAGCCGACGGCTCGCGGACGTCACGCGCGCACCGTCAGGAAAGTGGACGGCTGACAAAACACCCCAAAAAATGACCCAATTGGTCAGCAACACACCACGCCTCTGTGCCAGTTCCTGTGCCTGGCGGTGTGAAAACACAAGTTTGACAACACTCAAGTCTTGAATCTTGAAGCTATTCCTTTGCTCAGAGGGTGCTTTTAGCAACTAAGGCGCAATCCTACGCCAGCAGCCATGGATGCTGGAAGTGGCACAGACCCTTGGCAAATGGAATGCAGTGCTCCGTTTCGCAAGAATGCTCATACAAAAACAACGTATTGTCTCGACAAACCCTCTATTCACTGTAATGTTCTGACCTTCCCTTGGCTTAAGAAAGTGACAAAGTATCTAGCGATCCCTACTGCCTGTCACTGCATGTTGCACTCCCAAAATGATCTTGAATTCCAATAGAAGGCAGGATGCTCAAAAAAAGAACTAACACCAGGGATTGAACAAATGTGAAATAATGAAAAGTATTGTATTGTAAAGCAACAAAAAAAAACATAGCAAATCAACAAGCAAAAAAACAAGCTGAGACAAAGCAAATTAAAGCCAAACAATGTCCAAGAAGAACTACAATTGAGGAGGAGTCTGCTTTCACCTTCAACTTGCCTTTTGGTTTAGCACGATTGTGATTATGTGTGTGTGCCTTTAATCGCTGACAATGCTTTTGCTCCTGAGGTCCTTTCTTCTGCTTTCTACTTCCCCTTTTCCACACTTCTCCCAATGTACCTTCTATTCCACCTTTTCGTGTACCAAAAGGTGCTTGCCTTCTCTCTCTTTCTCTCTCGGCATTTTAAGGTCACACCGTGTGGAACTCCCGACGCCGTCACCGCCCGCGCCTCGGCCCAGTGGCACCTTGGGCGAGTGGTCGCCCCCGCGACGTTCCAACGACGATGGTGACCGTGGATGGCGCCAATCGCTGTTTGGCATTCGGTTTTGAACATGGTGATCCGAAGGAAAGGGGCCATGCCCTTCATAAGTTTTGCAGACCTTTCAGGGAGTGCCCTGCTTTAATCCTTTTCAATTTAGTCTATATCAAACAACGTCACAACTGAGGATTCCATGCCGCCACTGCTACAGCCTTCTGTGCCAGCCCTGCAAGTGCATAGTTTGTCTGGAAAATGGCATATGCCATGGCACAAGAAAACACAATGGCTCGGATGTTCACACTGATTCTGGAATATCCAAGCACGCTGTTCGTTCTTCATATGTTGGCACTTGCGCGGTGACAACAATGGCAACGCCAGAGGGTTAGGATAACCCCGACATACTAGTACTCTAACATCCCCTACATCCTCTGATTTAAAGTCAGCTCTTGCATCTTGCCACGTCCTGAGGAGGAATCAAAATGGCTCTTGCCTGTGGCAAAAGCAGCAACTCCCCCAGTTGCAGGGACTGCCTGTAGCTCGGAAAGATTGGGCCCTTTTTCAATGGAGTTTGAGCAAAAGGCTCGACAATCTTGGCACCAGGCTGACGACGAAGTGGTTCTTTCAACCACAGACCTGATGGAGGCAGCAAAATCATCTTCCACAGTGTGCGACACAGTCATAGGTAGCTTCTTGAGAAAACTGACGGGTTTGTAGTGCCCTCTGAGGTGCACTGCTATTGGAAGCAAGTCATCCAAGTTCATCGCAAACAGAACCCAAAAATGTGGCCAATGCTTCCAAACAGGCCCTGGTGGGCGGTCTTGAAATGCTTTGAACAATCATCTACTTGCAACAATACGCCTGCTACGCCTGGTTGTACTTGCATCACCGTCTTCATGCGGGTCCAGATGCATGCCGCGAATCGAGCGCCTTGTTTCACTGAAGCCCTCGACATCTCGTGCAATGCCTGCAGCACCTGATGTCATGGGACTTAGAAGGGCCCTCCGGCTTTTGTTTCGGTGTTGCACCCTTAGCATACCCTAGTAGCGATGCCCTTGTTGCTAGAGCTTCTAGCTACTAGTAGTGATACCCTTGTTACTAGTAGCGATGCCCTTGTGTACTTGTTTCAGTGTTGCATCCTAGAGACCAGCCATATGAAATGAGTAGGCTTAGAGCTTCTCCCTGGTGAAACGGTCCATCTTCCGGGGCATCTGTCTGTATATAGGCAAAACACTGCCCCAGGCGCCACGATACGCCAGCATCAACTTGACGGACAAGTGTGCTCGCTCCATTCTTGGGAGCCGCGCCGCCGCGTGAACACCGGGTACGGCCTCTGCTTCAACTGATTGAAATTTGAAATCAACTGAAGTTGCCTGAGACAAATCTGCGTGAGAACCGTTGAGTATCTAGAGTAAATGAGGTAATTATTAGCAGGGCACAGCAGGGTACCCTATGTTCATGGAGGCCCTTTTTCAACTCAACGCAGCTAAACACTATGTCGCACCAAGCTTGCCTGGGGGAAACACTTGTGAGGTTGCCCAAGCTGAAAGGCTCTGCCGTTGTGACCATCTTCTTGTTCAATTCAATAAATGATCCTCGCATGGACCTACCGACCCTCCCATGAGCGAAAGAGAAGCCACAACGGACGCAAAGGCATGGACCTCGTGACCGGATGTGCCAAGTCACCCAAGCCAGGCTGCAAGGAATCCATCGGCCGCCATGAAATGGTCCAAGCATGACGCCTCGCGCAACGGCGACTCGCTCCAAAGGAAGGCGAGAGACCGCTGAGCTGAGCACCCTGAATTGAACCCCCGAGTGCCAAAAGCCAGGTGAAAGCCGGTGCCGGGTCCTGCATGGTTTCTCTCCGCGAAGGACCGTCATCGAAGTCGAAGATGCTCTGTGGCTCAGCAAATTCAATCAGTTGCCATGAGAGCAAGCAAACCCAGGAGATGTGTGCATGGAGCTCCTGCTAGTATTACGCTGGATCCCCATGAAAAGGCAGACAATCCACGGCCATCCACAACAACGGACCTAAGTCTAGAGAATGACACTGTCGGGGTGTTTGGAGAAAGCTCTGATTGGTCGTTCATCCAAACCAAGAGTCCAGCCCAACAGTTGTCATCCTGCGAGACAGGATCAATCTTTTATACTTGTATATAGTATTGCGGCATCAATGATAAGAAGAAAAACAACAAAACAATTCAGAACATTAGAGAACCAACAGCCAACAGCGCATCTCGCTGAGGGAAGGTCAATTCCCGCCCCTCGGTGAGGCCAAACTCCTGCATCCGCATCAGTCGGATAAAGGCCAAAGCTTGTGGTTTGTCGTTGGTACATGTTGAGACCACGGACGTCTACTCAGTCTCCTTGGATCTGCCTTTACCAGCTGATTTGGAGCGTTTTTCACAACAAAACGTCTTCAAAAGCCGAGAGCTTTTCGCTGATGTCGACATATTTCGACGAGCGTCCTCACTGAGCATGGGATCCGACTGACCGGGAGCCATGCACCAACCAAGCCTAGCATCCATGCACGAACCGGCGCAGAAGAACCACGCGTGGGACGTTAGGCGTCGTAGAAGAAAAGCAAATTGATATCTGAAAAGCAATACTGTATATAATATATATATATTTTTTACATTACATTACATTGCATTACATTATATTATATATATGTGTATGACTTTATGTATATAGTTCATTAATGTTCATTATATTTTAATTCTACATCTTGGCGACATGGTGTAGCACATGTAACTAATTAACTATTTCATTAAACTCAGTCTTTCCAACACGGCCGCCGCGGCAAGATCATATTCAACTTCCCCGTTTCGGTACGTGCATGTGTTGGAAACCCACTCGAGCAAGCCACCAATCGACCTCTAGCCCGTGCCTTGGGATACGGCTGTCTGTGCGGTACACACCACCAACCTGTACCTGAGAAAAACGAAATCTGCTCCTGATGGTACCCGCTCAGGTCCGCATTGGCAGCAAGATGCTGTTGCATAAAGTGTCCACATCTTCATGGCTATCTGCTTCACCTTCGAGTAATTACTTCGTTCCCGCAGCAGGGCACATCTGCTTCACCTTCGGCATCCTCAGTTTTTGGCACAAAGCATTGGTGCTATTGGCAGTGTGCGTTTTCTGCACAAGTTTGATGCCCACGTCCACACGCCTTTCAAAAGCCGCACCGACAGCTGTGGGCTAAGAAATGGGCATCAGTTAAAGGGTCTTTGCTGGCCTCATAGCCAATGTGTTGGTCGTGTGTCGCGGTCAAGCCCTCCTTGTGATTATTCTCGCGCCTTGTGAGCGAGAAAGCCAAAAATGTCAACCACTTCCTGGTGTGACAACACCTAAGCCAGCCAGCCAGGCTTAGATATCACTTGATTGAAATCAACTACATGCACTGGCATGACACGGGCTTTGAAGCTCCCCACTCCACTCTTGGACACTTCCTTCGCAAAGAATGACGCCTCAATCAGCCCAAAGCCATTCCGCCCACCCTGACCGATCAACAAGCGTGCGTTCTCGGAGCAGTGGATGAAGTGGATGTGCAGGACAAGCTACAACTTCTCTGTGCCCTCGATGGGATAAACTTACAACGCTCTCAGTCCGGTGCAGACATTGCAGGGAATCGAATCAAATGCCTGAAGGGCCTTAGCCATCAAAGCAGTTTTCTGTCATGAACTAAAGTTACTAAAGTGCACCAGTGCACGTGCGCCCAAGTTGGGGAGAAAAGAAGACAAACTGACAAACTGTCTTCGTTTCAAGAACTGGTCAAGTCAAAACTTGAACACTTCGGCTGACGCACCTGACTGCGTCCTGCCAGCTTGGAACCTCACATGACTCAGGTGATTAGCTGCGTGTCACATCTTCAGGCCAAAGTTTCCCATTTTCGCGGGGACACGCATGGCGCTGACGACAGGCCCTTTATGCCGAGCCAGGCGACCAATTCACTGGCAGCCACAGCCGTTGGCCTTTGATCCACACCTGCACCAGTGGCCTGTCATGTGGCTCTAGACTCTACACAGTTTTGCTGTGTGGGCAATTATCAGCGATAAGGGTGCCTCTGGTTCTGACTGCTCTTTGTACATCCTCAGCTGGCCCCCAAACCAACATAAACATAAACATCATTAACAAAAATGTCCACCGCAAAAAGAAACAGAGAGAGAGAGAGAGAATGTGTGTGTGTGTGTGCCAGCAACGGGTGCATTGGAAAGTACGTTTGCCAAAGGATGATGTTCCCCCTCACGGCAACTTTTAGCAGCTTTTGGAAGGGTCCACTGAGCTGCTGCCCCTGTTTGCAGGCATGCAAGCGCCCATCCTCCACCTCTGGGTGCCAGGCACTCGAACCTCTGCCCACGAACGAATAGCACCCCACAAGCGCTCCTGCCATGTCAATCCTTCTCATTCAATCAGTGCGGCACTCCAGAAGTCAAACACCACCTAGCCGTCTCCAATGTTCCCACGCACGAAAATGCACCAAGCCAGTCGTGGCCCTTTCTAGACCCTCGCCTCGTTCACACAGAGCCCATCCGAGCCCAAGAGGGTTGCCAACGATCTTGGCCGGGCCGGCTGCGTTCAGAAGAATTCTGAATTTTCGTGGCGAACACAGCAGATTACAGAACTTGGTGTATATTCCTTGGTATTCCGGTATTCCATGATGTGCGTGAGCCTTGGGCCCTAAGGGAAAGGATTTCCAGATCTTCCGAATCTGTGTAGATCTGCGCTACTTGAGTCTGAAAAAAGAGTCAGAGCGGTTGTAGCACTGACTTGAGGACCACGGTTCGGTAGGACGGGCTACATCTGACCTCCAAGAAAAGATCCAAAAAGAAGCCCACATCTGCATGGACCACATGGGCCTGACTGGTCACCGTTGATGTGATGGGGCCCGATGGGATCTTTTTTTGTGCAGTTCCACTACTATGGACACGTGACTGAGGTACACCGGTCCTACGTAGAGTGCGTTGCCAATTCCACAGCAATCCTGTTCTCAAAAATGTTGACCGGCTGACCTGTTTCCAAAGGGATCCAGGATCATCCTCACATGTGCCTCCAACGCTTTTCTGATAAACATCCTCTGCGAGGAAGAGCGCACTGGGGTGCGGACACGGAGTGCAATTCTAAGAACTCCTGTGCTTGAAGCACCTGATTCAACACTTCCAAGCCCTCCGCTAGCTTTCAAGCTTTCAAAGGGAGCTTGAAACGAGAGGCTTGTCAGTTACAGTAGAAGCTGCGAACACAAACCAAACTCAAACACTGGAGGACTGTCTTATATCTCTGCCTGTCGCGTTTGCACCCTGGAAAGCTGCTCAAGGATCCTCAAGAAGCTTTGGGACCACCTGCAGTTCAATGCTGATTCTCATGCTGTGTAAAGTCTCCCCACCGTTCCAAAGCAGATTTGAACCCATTGTCACTCTCATGCGGGGCCCCTGACCTCTCTTGCCCCAATCGACAGGCGACGTCAAAGAGTCTCAGGACCTGCGAACAATGACCTTAATTGGCCCTGCAACATGTAACCATGATGAAAGCACTGACAGTCAACATGTCAGCTCATGGGTCTGTTAAAAAGAAATCCTGAGAGCCACCGACATTGATGTATACAAAGAATATGGAAGGACGACTGTATTTCGTATCCTCTTCCTCTTTTGAATCTCATTCCTGCCAGGTGCCTGCGTGACGTTGCTGGGGTCGACGTGCTTGTCGAGAAAAACTCCGCAGGCGTCAAGCCTGCCGACGCTTCATGACTGGATCGGAGTGGGCACAACTCAATCATCATGGAAGTGGATGGCATGGCCCCCTTAGATTCTCTACAATCAAATGGTGTTCCACTTCCATGATGATTTCAGGGAGCGTACAACTCAGCAACTCTCAGCTCGGTGCAGGCCAAAGATCTGGTACTTGTCCGCGGCCCTGTACACCTGCATGGCCTGACGATTGCCGCGACTTCTCCCGTAATCCGCGCAAATGACCGGCCACGGCAACAGGCAGGAATGGCATTGTCCAGGGAGAGCAATGGATCCAAATGGTGCACATAGCGCAGCATGCACTTGAACCTTGGTGGCTGAACCGCGACAGGCAGGTTGTGGGTTCAGGAATCAACACTCTTTTATGGCAATGCTCTCGGCCCTTGAGTCCCACACGCACTCGGCTCAATGTCAGAAACTGCAACATAGTGATGTTGCCCTCGCCGGAACCTGACATCCAAGAGTAACTTCGTGTCCACACGCACACACACATCGTAGAGTAAGAAGTAGAGACCTATAAATAAGTATATACAGTTGCACTTGAGCCAAGATGCTGGAGCCGTTCCGTGACGTAGGTGCGCGGACCTTCAGAGCCACACAGGCACGCTGCTGGTGCTGCTTAGGGATGATGTTTCGCCCGAGGGCCATGCTGCAGTGGCCCCAAGGATCCGCGGGGGCTGCTGCACGACCTCAGCCATCCATGCAGTGTGACCCCGACCAAGCAAGTGATAACACCACCCTTGGACCACAGTTCAGACAGGTTCGAATGATCTGCACTGCCCAAAATCCTCTGGTTCAAGTATTCCTGGGTTAGGGGTTGGTAGCTGCAAACGAATGCTGGTCCAGTATTTGTGGTGCGTTTGCTTTGGTGAGACAGCTATACATGCAGCCGTCATTGATGCGGGAGAGGGTTTCTTTGCACCCAAAGCTCAAGCCATGGCAACAATGCAAACGTGATCAAACGTGTACCTGAGAACCTACACAATAGGCAGCTCACTCGGGGCCTTGTAAGTTTGTTGGCTTTAGTTTGCGATGGACTTGTATTTTTTGATCTGGACTTGTCTGTGTTTCTCTGTGGGTTGCTGTTCATAATTTGCATGTTTGTGTGTGTGTGGTTCTCTGCACAGGCCCGGATGAGATGGCGAGAAGAAAAGAAGACAGATTTGATCGAAATGAACTGCATCTGACAAACCTCCTATGATATCCTAAGACCTAAGATATCAAAGGATTGTGATTCCTCGCCTGCACATGCATGGATGGAGAAAGAAAGAGAGAGAGAGAGAGAAAGAGAGAGAGAAAGAGAGAGAGAGAACAGTTGGTAAACACTGCTTCGAACCAAGGCCCTCGGTCCACCACAACCACCGGACGACTCAGTGCCCGACTACGTGGAGAGCTCGGCGCGGAGGACGTCTGGTTGCAATCCTCGGAGACAAAACGGGTCTCGTCACTCTATACTCACCTGGCACTGCGTGGTGCATCTGAGGCAGAAGGATGCCCTGCCACAATCTACCACCTGGGCGATCCTTGTTGCAATAGACTAGGGAGACCCTCCAACCAGTGGATTTGTGTGGATTTGGATCCATTCTTCCTTTGTGTCACAAGGTCTAAAAAAGCCCCCCTTCACCAATCAACTCACGAGCTCAGTGCTTGCTTCATCCGCACTCAGACAGGCACATGGTCCCAGCGCCTCAACCAATTACGCGGTGCTTTGATCGCCGCTCGCCAATCCCGCTGGGAACAGGGGCACAATGAAGGCCAAGAAAGCACCAAAGCTACCAGGACCCTCCATCTGCACAACTTCTGTCTATGCTTGCATCAGGGACAGGGAAAGGATTACACTTCCTTAAACTTGTGTCCACCAGAGGTGACTTTATTCTAGAAATCAAGAAACTTGAAAAAAAAAAAACTCTAAAAAAAACAGCAAGCCAAAAAAACACCATCAAAACATAGAGCAACCAAGAAAGCAAAAAAACAAGGCAAAAAACAGCAACCAAAAGTGCAACCAAAAAAGCACAAGCAAAACAAAAAGCAACCAAGAAAGCAAAAAGAAACAATAAGAAAGTAACCCCCCAAAAAAAACACAAGCAACACACAGAGGGTAGTTTGGAGGGGCCGGGTAGGGTTAGTACTGGACAAGGGTCTTTTCTGGTGCCGGGTCAAGTGTCGCACTTTTGGTCGCTTTTTTCCTGGTGCCGGGTAAAATGTCGCACTTTTGGTCGCTTTTCTTCACACCTTTTTCCGGGGCCGGGGCCAAGTAAAAAGTCGCACTTTTGGGTCGTTTTTTGTTAGCTCGTTTTTCGTTTTTTGGTGTTTTTGTGGAGAAAAACACGGGAAAAAAAACGACCAAATGTGTGACTTTTGGCCCGGCGCCGTTTAAAAAAATGAAAAAGAAAAGCGACCAAAAGTGCACCAGAAAGTCCAAAAGTGCGCCAGAAAGTGGCCAGAAAGCGCGCCAGAGCGTGGACCCTTCCAAGAAGTGCGCCAGAAAGCCCGGCTGAGTTGTTCCATTTTTGCTTGCAAGATCTTGCAAGTTTGTTTGTTTTGTTTGCTTTTATGATTGCGTTTGTTTTTCTGGTTGCATTTTGTGATTTCTGTTTGTTTTTCGTGTTTTTCAAGATGGTACACTTCTAGAATAAAGGGGTCTGGCAAACACAACCTTAAACCCTACCTACCTATCCGATCTGACAAAAACCCGGGGTGGCTTCCAAAGTGTTAAAAGAGTCTATATAAATGGCTGAGCATCCCGCTGCTTCCTCGGGGATTGGCGTCCCGCCTGTGACTCGGGGCATCCGATAAAATGTACAAGCCGAGCTCCTCCCGCCCCAAAAACCTAAAGCAATGTCGCCTCTCGGTGCCACTGCGGGCCAAAGAACATGGCATGGAACACAGGGCTGGCCATCGCCAAGTTCGCCCTGACGTCCAACGAGCCCAAACGAGTCGGAAGAAACGATTCTCAATTCGTGCCTCGAACTGAAGAAGTGGGCCTCCTAGGGAAGATGCTGGAAGGCTGCAACGCAACCGGAATCACTCAACTGAGGTCAGGGCCTCCTTCGGACCAACTCCAAAGAAAACATCGGAGACCGCTCCGGAGATGATTTCTTCCTACCCCACTGCTGCGAAGACCAAACAAATTCACAGTTTGTTTCCATGAAAAAATGTGGTCCTCAATGCGCTCATCTAAAGCTTTGAACATGCTTCAGCCAGTCCTACAAACAAGTAAAGGCTCATAGCCACTCATCAGCACCACCGTTTCTGTCTGCAATCATGCACCAATCTGTGAATCTCTGTGCTGCTTAGCAAAGAGCTGCCAGGCAATACAGTTGCCATGAAAACTTTGTAAGGGGAATCAAGCTAAGCACCAACATGACCACGTCTAGCAGCCTACCAAGAGCACATCATGGCACATCACCGTTCAGAACCGAAACCCAAACAGAAATGGCATGCGAAATTGCCGATGGCCCTCCTTTGAAGACAAGGCCGCCAGAATTTCAAAGTAAACCGGTGCAATGCATGCAAGCGTTGATCAAACTATCTAGGCGTTGAGATGTTTCATAGGTTTGCATAACCTTGATTTGAGCTCATCTTACTTGTTACCAGTTCTCAGTCACTTCAATTTGAGCCACTTTCCGCGAAAACAAACATGGCAAGTCGTGAATTGCATCTACGTCTCGAATTATGTTATGTCTCTGAATCTCTTTTTTTTCTCTCGGTTCTTTTCATCTCGCCAAGTCAATGGCACGCCACGCCCTCAGGGCAAAAGTGGCTGGGGCAAGGATCCTTCGCCTTGTGCCCCATCAACCTAGCTAGGAGAGCTGCTAGGCGGAAACCTCAACTTCTGTTGTCCACGCATCGACTGGCAGGGATTCGCAACCCAGGCATGGACTCGTCCTTCTGAGATTTTCGTCGTTTTCTTGCAAACTCGGCACTCAAGCCAAGCCCCGCGACGAACCAAGCTACGGCTGTGGTGCAGCCGGGATTTCAGGTTCAAAGATCGTTCATCCACCGGCTCAAACTCACATGGCCTAGCTTGGAGGTTCTCCACTGCCATCTTCCCGCACCGCCGAGGAACCTTCAGCCAGCAACGGCAAACCATTTGCGACCCTGACATGTGCTCCGTGTCCTCAACCAACTGGTGCAGGGTTTGTTCCAGAGTCTTGCCAACGACCCCTGGACACAAAGCATCACTGCGGCTGGAGATTTCAGAGTGAGTTAGTTGAACATCCCTTTATCCGTGGACCACAAGTCTCACTTGTGAAGCCCTTCACTGTGCGCACGCTGGACAAGCTGCCTGAAGACTTCAAGCCGTGCCTGGGGCTTGGGCGGAGTGCTCTTGACCACAGTGTCAACAGTCTCAAAGGACCCGTGCATGAAGTGGTCCTTGTCCTTGGGCATGGCACTGATGCGACACGTACACTTCCTGATGGAAATGATCCTCTAGCCGAAGTTCCTTTTCCAAGGCAATGGGAGCCTCCTTGGCTGCTCTGGTCTTGGCACAAAGTTTCGCTTCCACGAACTGCTGCCAAGCCCTATTGTCTTCCCCACTCTCTTTCATGGACCTCTGGAGTTGCGCCAGACGTCAGGCGCTGCGGTGCCCTCATAGCCCTTCTTCAAGGCCAGCCACCCTGCGGAGCAGGGAGGTGACATGTCTTCCAACTGCTCTCCCAACCTCACATTTCAGGAGCCTCATCAGTGCAACCTGCAGGACTTGTGCACACTTCCCATCTCAAACGAAACCAAGTCCTGTAGGGCACACTTGTCAGGGAGATAGGCCTCTCCACATCTTCTTTTTCAGGAAGCAGCACCACCAACGTTGCGCATACTTGCTCTGGAAGGCGTCCTGAGAGTTCCCACCTTCTCAGCATACTGCATAGCTCCGTGACCCCTTCAATGGGCAAATTCTTGAGCATGGCGCAGCTGATGCCGTCAGGGCCACATGCTTTCTGAGGCAACTTGCGGAGCTTTTGCATGACCATGTGAGGGTCTAGGTCCTCCCAAGTTCTTGCTTGGACAATGCCTTCTCACCGAAGTCGTTCTCGTTCACCACTGGTTTTGGGCTGATCCAACACTTGCCACCTGCCATGCCACTGCTGTTTCCTCAGGCCTTGTCGATCTTGCACTGGCACATTTCTGAAAGGCCTCACATGCACATTGTCCGGTGCCTTCAAACACCGATAGATGCCACTTTGCCCTTTCAAACTTGCCTGCGCGAGCCAGTTTTGAAACTCTTCAGTCTGGTGCTCAAGGGCCTGCTTTTTGGCAAAGTCACGGTTGCATTCAGCACCTTTGATGAGCAAGGTCAGTGGCATAGGATCACTGGCTAGAAGGGCTTCAAGGCCTTGCCGGACGGCGTCAATGCCATGGATGTCCTGCCATCTCTTATCGAGGTCAGCTGCTTTCACTCTCAGGTGGTCCATGGTGCCAGTACTGATCACCTCTTTACTGGCAATGTGGTAGAGAAGCGAGGCATGTGCTGTGTCTGGGTCCAAGACATGCTCCGCTGGAGGCGTAGCAAACAGAGCTTCTTCCTTCAACTGCTTTGCATAAGCTTCTGATTGATCACCCAATTGCTTATGCTCCTTGTCACTGGCCTCTTGGACACCTTTGAGCTCATCCAAGAGTGCCTTGTACTGCTCCTTGGCCTGGTCACATCAACAATGGCCGTTGGAGCAGGCTTCAAGAGGCCCTCCACCACTTCTTTGACCTCCTTGGGCAAAGATTCCAGATGCGCCTCCTCCAAAGGCTGAGGTTCTGGCTCCGGAGTCAGTGTTGTTTCAACCACATTGGATTGCTGCTTGGATTTGCCTACAAGCCCAGGTGGTGGCTCCACTGTCTGCCGATCTCTGCCTCTAGGCTTCCGAAGCTTCTTGGTGAGTGACCTAGCAGGTTGCCAATGATGCCCTCCTGTAGGCCATGGAGTGCCACACTTGTCGCAACCCCACCTGATGTCCGAAATCCGGTCACTCCAGACCCAAGAAGCTGTGCATCCCTGGCAGGCATGGTAGTTCCTGGCTCTCCTGTGTGGAAACTCCCATCCACTCATCATGTAGGCAAAGTTCAGAATGCCCTCGTCAAGCTCGGATCACGGGCAAAGGTGCAGTCACCCTCTAGGTAGGATGAAAAGGAGAGCTCCACAAGGAGAATGCCCCAGTGCCCTCGGGAAGCTCAAAGGCGGACACACCTGCTTGAGCCACCTCGAACCTTGAGCCCAAACTTGAGCCAAAATGGCTACGGTCTCTGAATCTCTCTCTCTCTCTCTCTTGCCAACCTACGGGGCAGGCATGCAGCAGTACCCAATCAAACCACGAATGACCATGGACAACATAGTAACTATAGTAATTGTTATTGCCATTTCATTACCGTGCTGATGACGCCACATCCTGCCATATCCTCTTGCGCCAAGGTTCCTCCAAATAAATCCGGACACATGAGGATCACCATTTTCATGACAGCTAGCTGTCAGCGAAAGGCCCCTGAAAGGTCTCAAACAAACCGCGGGTCACAAACTCCATCTCGTCCTGTCCAAAAGTCGCACGAAAGGCCGAGAGCAAAGCCATTCATAGCAATGGCCTCCAACCTAGTAGCGATGGCCTCCACCTGAAAGGTCTAAGAGCAGGGCCTTGGCTTTCCTCTTGAGTGTTTGAAAGGTCCTAGCAGCTGGCTCAAAAAATGCATATCATGCTCGATCGACTTGGCCGCCTGCCTCCCGCGCACTCGGCCTGCTAGAACGTGCTGGCCTTGTAGTCGCATATGCTACGGACAAGTCACTCACATGCGGTCACATGGTGAGATTATATGTTGTATATGTTGTGTGTAAATAGGTGTGTGTGTATATATAGCTATTAATAATTATGGAACTTATATATTTAATCTTAAATATATATATATATATATATTTGTGTATGTATATATGTATATGTTTATTTCTGTGTGTGTGTGCGCGACGACTGTAATATGACCGTATGACAGTATGACATGATCAGCCCGCGGTCCATCAAGTCGCTTGTTTTGAGCGGGAGGGGCGTTTTCAGCTGGGCCAAGGTGGCACCCTTGGTCACCCGGCAAATGGTGCATTGTGAAGGCCCTCGGGCTGACAGTGCTACCTGGGGCTCTCATCGTGTTTCTGAAACGTGCCATGGAAAGCGTGCGACGAGACGTGAAAGGCTGAGACCCTGACTCTGAGGATTGAGGCACCTGACCTCAGCCAGATTTATATTCACAAGCCGTTCATACCCAGTACTTGGGCCGGCGCTTCTCTTGCAGCGTGCAACCATCGAAGCTGCGGAATGGCCCTGCCTGGATTTGCCGCTGGTGAAGGACAGCTCGCAACCCTCCAAAGTGATTGGCCCTTGTATCTCAGATGCACACGTAGGTCCCATTCACGTTGGCCTTCCGGTCCACGCAGATTCGGACCCCCTGGAGGACTTGTCGGGCTTCAGAACATGACTCATGACCCAAAACAGCCCAACTACTCTTTCGAGCCTCTGGCCATTGCAGCAAAATTGCCGCCACGAGCAGGGGAGTTGGTGTTCTTTGCGAATCACCCTCTGGTGTCCAGCCAATGTCGGTCCAGAGAGGCGATGGGTCGATGCACGTGTCGGCGCACATACCATTGTTCAAAAGACGTTGCAGTGACAGCGCATCACGCTGGAGAAGACTGTCCACAGCAAGCTGGCTTTGTTCTGAGCTCGTTGTATGATCTGTGCTTCGATGTTCTTTGATCAAAGCCTCTGGGGATACACACTCTTGCATGTTTGTCTCCGAGATCGACACTGGCTTTTGAATCTCATCTGTGTCCTTTGTGATCTTTCTGGCCCTTCTCCAACGGTCTCCATCTTCCCATTCAATTTCGTGCCCATCAGCACTCAAATATCCTCTGACGTCATCTTCATCCATGATCAACACGCATGTATGCGAATTCAGGACTTTGATACTGGCAAAGCGGGAGCCCTCGTGCCAAACATTTTGGCCTCGCATGTGCGTTTGCACGTCAAAGACATGGAAAGCGTCAGCACAGGGTTGTGCATTTGCACAATTGACATGACCTGCCTGACAAAACCACAACTGTGCTGCAAGTGCTGTCTCCATCAGCCATAGTTGCTTCCTCAAAGTCGCTGCTTTTCCAAGCTGGGCCCAAAAGCCAAAAAAAGTTGCCCTTCCAAACACTCCGCTAAACATACTCCTCACATTCGCCAATATCCCTGAGAAACTACATGTTCAAATTCATTGAGGTGCGGAGTGCGACCTGCATTACATCCCATCGCATTCATCTTATCTATGCCATAGAGTCATGTATGGATAGCACAGGCATGTCAGAGCGCATCAAACAACATCATGCATCAGTTTTGGCCTCCATGATCTCAAAGCAACGAAAAGCGACAATGTGTACGTGAGTGTCAGTAGAATAGTTTTGCTGCCGAGCGGTTGTGAGGCGATCACCGCATATCACCATCACCATCCATCACCTACCATTCTTCAACCTGTTGCTCGTGGCGGACTGACAGGAATGACTGCAAGATGCTGAAACTGCCAAGGATCCCAGAATCCATCGAAGCTTTGACCACTGGACACCTCGATGGTGTCAGGGACCAAGTCTTCTACATCCCTCGCTTGTGTCGCCTCAGGTGACCAAGTCATCAAAGTCTAGTCTTCTCCCATGACCCTTTCGCTCCAAGCAGTGCACATCAGTGCACGTCGTGCGCATATAGTGCACGCAAATACTCTGCAGAGTTTTGTAGATGTCGAGTTGGGTCTTGTATGTCCCCTCTTGTTTACTCTCATTTGTTGCTAAGGCTGTGGCATACGTCCACCGGCCCGGCATTCTCCACTCGATCCATCAAGAGTTTAAGAAGGCCAAAACTCATATGATCTCGTTTGACTCTTTGCAATGGCTTACAGCTGCGACGTGTGGAATATCCTCAAGCGCCCTAAAACTGCACTGAAAGCTTATTGCTGTCAGCATGCCGAACTTCCCACACCTTTACCCTTGTCATGGAAACGAGGAGTCTCATGTTAATGTTTATCCATGTCCCCTGTTGCACTGTGTTGCACTCACCAGTTGTCAAACCAGCCCTTCTACGCTTTTGCTGCAGCTTAGTCCAAGTCCAAGTCAGCATGGCCATGCTCAAAATACGTTCAGCGATGCGTACGAACAATCTCAACCCACGACTGAATGATCCGCCTGTGCGATACCTTTGAACCATGTGGACATGTTCTGTTCGCTGCAAGGATTAGGCCTTGATTGGTCCTGTACATCTTCCGGCCAAAACCGGCCAAAGGCTGAGTCTGTGCTACGCAACTAAGCTGCAAAAGGCAGGAGCAGTGGCTCCCGAGCAAGGATTTGAGCACGTCCTGGAAATCCAGGAAGCCCAAAGCCCAAAGCTATGCAAGTCGCATGTCCCTCGTAGATCATGAAAAGGCTCAGACCATCGGAATTTGGGACTGGCAAGCCTGCTCTGAATCATCTTCCATTCCATTCAGGTTGGACAAAAGCCGTCTCTCCTCTCTTCCAACATGCCAAAGACCGATGGCTGGAGAAATGAGAGGAAAAGCGCCTCCTGTCGCCAAGCGCAACAGGGCTTGCGAAGCTGTGTCACCCTTGGCAGCAGGCAGCACAGCAAAACACACTCAAAAACTCTCAAAAGTGTTGCAGGCTGCCAGCCAACTAAAGCAGAATGAATCAACAATGCACACCCTCTGAATTGCCCAGCTCACAAGCTGGATTTGATTCCTCCATTCCTTGGCCGCTGGCTCATGGCCCCAAGCATTGCCTGACGACCAAGCTGTACGCAAACTCGGCTTCGTCGCATGGGGTTCAGCCGGCCTCTTGCAGCACGGCTTTCGCTGTGCCATCGGCACCTGATCGACACTACACTCCCGGGGATCGAAAAGGCCAGTCCATCCGACTCGAATGGTGTAGCTGAGAATCGAAGCTTGCAAAGACAATCTTTTAAAGTAAAACCACGTTGGGGTTCAGCCGTGCATTTCAAAGGGGCCCCTTTGTTGAGTAAGAAACTCCAAGCTGGCGTCTATGCAACATGCAAATTGCCGGGGCACAATGTCGTCTGCTGCATATATATATATATATCTGTGTGTATGTACATGTTATATTACTATTATTGTTGTCTATTTATTCTAGATTGTTCTTTTCACTTTCCTGGCTCTCCTTTTGTTTTTATCTTCCTGTTCTTTATCATCTGCTTTCTTCTTTCTTTTTTCATCTTGCTTGTAGTAACTTGCATAGTGGCCTCAGCAGCTCGGGACCTCAACAAGGCTTACGTGCCTTGCTCCGGTCCAGCTGCTTTGGCGGCCGTAGCCTCTGCTTGGAAGATCTCACCTCGTTGCCCAGGAGGCAATCTAGAATGCCTGAAAATGCCTGAAACATTATTTCTGGTTGGCGGTGTCAATTCACTCAAAAAATACTAGTCAGCGGATTCAATCATTCCAAGTAAAGGTTGAAAATACCTAGATTTCATGATCTCGCTCCCCTTGATCCGTGACCGGCCTAGAAGTTTCAAAGCTTCAGCTCTGCGAATGCGGATTTGCCATGGCCTCAGGTGATCGACAACCTCAATTCCAATGAGAGATCACATCGGTTCACAAGCGATCCTAAAAATGACAATCTACTATACAAAACATTACTAAACTAAACTACTACTGTATTAAGTTATACTAGGCCGAAAAGTGTGTTGTGCCGGCCGTTTTTCTGCCAAGTTCTCGAGAACATGCCGGCTCTGAGTGCCGCACACTGACTTGTCCTGCAGGAACTTCCGACCAACATCCCGAACCTTGACCAGGCCAAAAAAGACATGGCAATGCAAAGGAAAGGGAGGGACGTTTTTTTTCGGATGGTTTTTTCATGTTTGTGGGGTGATTTTTTTCGGATTCTGCTTTTGCTGCGTTTCTGCTTCTGCTGCTTTTTTGCTTTTGTTGCTCTTCTGCGTTTGCTTTTCTGCTTCTGCTGCTTTTGTTGCTTTTCTGCTTTTGCTGCTTTTCTGTTTTTTGTGTTTTTGTACTTCTGCTCTTTGCTTTTGCTGCTTCTCTGCTTTGGCAGCTGTTCTCCTTTCTCTTTTTGTTTTTGCTTTTCCATCTGTTTGCTTTCTAACCTTTGGATCTGGTGTGCTGCTGGGGGGGGGGCTGCGCCCCCCCCCAACCCCCCCCCGCGCCACGAAATCTGCACTTCATCTCCGACACCCGTGCCTGCCACGAAATCAATATTTTAAAGTGAACTCCCCGGGGCATAAACTTCTAACCAATCATATATGCCTCCTGTGCTGGTTCTCTTTATCTTTACTGTTTCTCTGCTAACGTAGGACTTTCTCTGACACCTACACTATTCCAATGTATTTTGCTAGCTACGACACCTGTGTCTCGGCTAAGGACACGAAATTGCTGTAATTAGCTAGGTACTAATAAGAAATTTGCTCTATTCAAATGTGTTTGAGGAAAAAAGAACGAAAAAACGTGCACCCAAAGGAAAGTGGGATTTGGCAAGGCAAAAGAGTCTCAAGTCATTGAACAGAGTTCGCGTTCGTGAGTATAGAAAAAACCAAACACAGGTAGCCGAAAAAGAATTCAAGTTTTGCTACTATTGAGCTCTCCAAAGACCAGAAACACCTATCAACAAAGCCGCCATTTGGGGTCAAATCTAGGCTGACACGGTGAAGTTGGGTTCAGCCGAGCCACTGTTCGATCAATGTCACGCACCACGTACGACCATGCGGTCTGCAAAAAGAGTGGGAGTGCATCATCCATGACGCGTTCGACCTCGCTGAGTCTGCGCAGCCGAAGCGCGTTCAGTCGTGTGTGTGGATGCGCCAAGCTCTTGGATGTCATAGAAGTCTCAAAAAGTCACCGTTATCATACGTTGTCCCTTTACCTCTGTCCATCCAAGTCCATCTCCTGGCACTTGGAATGCCGATCTGCTGCACTTTCTTTTGGCGTTTCGTTACAGTATCTAAAATGTCTGGAGGGCCTCCTGGGCTTGCTCTTCACTCAAAGGGGGGGGCCCTCACCTGAGGCCCGCGGTCGGAACGGGCCAAGGAGTGAGGAGTGAAGGAACAAAGACAGGAAGACAGGAGCACGTCAGCAAAAGCACGTCAGGGGAAGACAGAAATGGATGGGCACTTAGTGTTGAGAGTTTGCATGTTACTTAGCGAATAGGACGGAAGGGCCGAAGTACATCATACACAAGTTGCACATATTGTAAAACTTGTAAAGCTTCAGAGTAATCTATGATTGGGATGGAAACAGACGCACGACTTTCTTGACAATCCGACCTTCTGTCTGTGTAGGCTCCTCCTTTGAGAATTTGCTCGCCGCACTGTACACCTGACCCACACTCACATGCCTGAAGCTCGTGGGGCTCAGGCTGCAAACCGCCCTCACGCACTGGTTGGAGGCACTTCCGAACCCCGCCTTACCAGCTTTGATCAGGCTTCCAGCGGCATTCCTTGGCCAAGCAGCACAACGATGGCAATCGACCAACGAAAGCTGACATGCTGAGCAGTGCCTTGAACAGTTTGCTGATACATCTTTGGTTTGCCAAGGTTATATTGATGTAGATGTACAGATGCACAAGGATACACATGTGAAGTGCAGGACATCCTTCACCAAGCACCCGGGCTTGTAGAAGCGCAAGCGGTGCTTCAGGACTAGGCCTCCGGGACATGGCGGCCAGAAGCCACGCCAACCGACAGCAAAGGAGAACCCAAAGAAAAACGATAAGAAAACACCAACCACGTTTTGCTGCTCTCCCCGCGTGTAAGTCCAAGCATCCCCGCCATTGTGCTTCATTGATGCGCGCGACTTGGTGAGAGAGATACGGCCATGGAGCTCATTGGCCAGGTAGATCCTTAATAAGGAGTGTCAGGTCGCAGTAGAAAAACACACGTGATGCTGCTCTGAGAATGCACTAAGCTCCCCTCTCAGAACGTACCAAGTACATCCTTAGAGTCGAAGTGGAGAACCAGCACAAAAGCAAGGCAGAAAGACTCCGATGAATGATGGGCTTGATGGGTGAGCAGAACATGCAGGAAAGCACCACTAATCAAGCAAGCGAAAACATACTTTCACCCTCAACTCAAACGTAATCTCCCGGACATGAGGTCATGGCTCACCCAGAGCCTGCAAGAGCTCGGGTCCAAACTGTGAGGAAGCCTCGTGGCTGGTACAGGCTTGCACATGGGCACACGTGCCAAGTTGCAGAGCTGCTTAGGCATATCATGCCGAATCATTCTACCACGAGTTGGAAGAACATGTCAACGGTTGCCATCATAAAAGTCGACTATTTGAATCGAGGATTCAAGGCATCGTTGGAAGCACTCAACAACGCGTTGCCTCCCAGGAGTTCAATTTTTTTCCCAGGCCCTGCTGAGTCCAAGTCAAGTTCTGAAGCTTCCTTCCGCATCTGAGCCTGGCTCAAATGAAGTGAGTTCTAGCAATGGAAACTTGCAAACCCGTTCCTTTCCAGTTGGGTGAAGAATTCTCCGGATTTCTCGAAACGTCGCTCGAGTGTTGTGGCACCCCCACACACAAATGAAGCTACTCATCGGCCCATGCTGGGTCTAGTTCTATGGCAAATGGTGTCGTGGAGGCTCTCTGATTGAATCGGCCGAGAGGACGCCTTTCTACAATCGACCTGCCTCAAAACTTGTGAAGGCTGGCACCATTGTCCAAACCAAAATGGTTCGGGCAAACAACCTGGCCTTAAAGCCCTCGGTATCCCGGCCATACACCTTGGTGTACAGCATTGGGGAGTGCCGGGTCGCACACCGCTGGGTACGTCGAGCAGCGGGACTCAGGCAGGGCATGTCCATCCACAAATCAAGCTCGCGGCATATCTCGCACACCGCTCACGGAGATTCACAGCACAAGCAACCTGAAGTGCTACAGGTTCCGGGGTCTCAAGCAAGTGGAACATCAGTTTCGATTGTTGAATCGCTCTAAGATGGTTGTGATCGCACCCGCCGCTTTTGGGTCATTGAGTCCAGCGCCTCGCGACGAAGCTGGCGCTTCTTGAGGCTTTTCTCCAGCTCCGACCTGGAGGTCGACAAGTCTTTCGAAAACATCCACAGATACCCACGGAGTCAGCAACTTGAAATCGGGTTGAAAAAACACTAGGCATTGGCGGCATTGGCATGCAGTCCTTGTGGTGGTGCACACATCGTGCAAAACATCTTGGCTCCGGGCATCTCATCATCTTCATTTGCTTTTGTAAAATGGTCCGCTTGAGCAGCAATCAAGAGCCTCAAAGCACTTCAACTAGTTCTTCCATCAACAATGTTGATATCACATGGTATCATGCAGTGGCACGTGCCCTCCGATGAAGTTGCAATGCAACAATGAGTAATGTAGTTTTAAAAATAAATAAATGAATATATATATATATAAAGACTCAACTCGCAAGTTTTTCCGCGCATGCAGGGTTGTGTCAAAATTGAAAGAAAATTGAGATGAGGAGAAAGACGTTCATCATCACCTTAGCACACACACATCAGAGGCCCAGCGCTACCCCCTTCGGCCAGACCACGAAGGAGGTAACACCCCTCGTACCCCCCAAACCCGCCGCAAACCGGAAGGCGTGGGCCCAGGTACCTATTCGTCTTTCTCATGACACAGAACACACAGTCTCCGCTTTGGAAAAAATCCAACCCCTAGTCCCCCTTCCACGTTTCCCTTACCTGCTTTAGTACGCTCAAGCATTCGAGGCAAGTCGTGAAGTTTCAGGGAGTGAAACAGGCGTGTATAAGGCAACAAGGCCTTCTTTGGCAGTGTAAGCTGGGCTAAAACGCAAAGTCCCTCGTTCAGATAGATTCTTGCAGTACGGGCGGCTGCCCAACGCCCCTGGATCAGGATTTTATCCAGTGATCCGTGTTTACCAAACCAAAATGTGGCGCCCCCCTCGCCGGAGCGAGTAAGGGCGAAAGCCCATGTCATTCAATGACAGCGCAGACAAGCACTCACTGAATCTGGTACGCCACTGGTGTGGAGGAGGGGTGAGCGGGCTGTGCGAACTTGAAGTCTTCTTCCAAGCCCAAAACCAGGCGAGGACAGGTGTAACGGTCACTGTAATGCTCTCAGAGGCACCAGCTCGGTTGCCGCCCTTTGTCAAGCCTAACGACACCACCGCGGGCTTGTTGGGGGCCGTCATCAAAACGTGGTGATTACATACGGAGAGCAACTCCCCTATACGGAGGAGGCCGTAGAAACCCAACAACAAGGAAAGACCGAAGGCGTAGTGCTCATTGAAAAGACACCATCCTAACATGGCTTCAAGAACTGCCTCGGGCAGTGGCGGTGCCCGGTTTGGCACCTCATTGGTGCGCCATGTCTTCAACAGGCACCAAGTCCCTTGAAGCTTCCCCTTCAGCTGAGGTGCAACACTATCACTAGCAAGGGCCCGCCCTTCACCTGACGCCCATAAGTGCTCCACATAGTCGGACAACAGGTCATCAAAGGCGGGAAGACTACGGGGGAGTTCAAGGTGGTTCTCCTGCAGGTACGCATAGAATTTCTCACGTGCGGCTTGGTAGCGCTTGCGTGTCTTGGGCTGTAAGGCTAACTGCTTCAACGTTCCAAGGATCTGTCTCTGCTTCGCTCGCTCCTCTTTGCTGCGTCCCTCTAGGTGCACACTCACTTTCCCCATTTGCGCCGAAGAGGCCGTCCTATGGCCAAGTGATTGAGGCCGAATACCAACTGCTCACACGCCTTTCCAGACTTCTCATTGCGGCAAGGGGGCAACGGAAGGGGAAAAATATTGGGTAAACACAAGTCTTCCATTGCCGTGGACTGCGCGCGCTCTTCGTCAAGTCTTTCGAGAAGAACCCGTGCCGCATTCATGGCCTGGATCATGGTACTGGGTGAAACACTGCTGCTAACGGCCTCGGACTCACGTCCTGATACGGGAGGGACCAGGTCGGCCTGTCTCCGACCGGAACTCCTGCATCTTCAGCCTCACGGGCAGAGCTCCGAGCAGCATCATTGGAGGCCTCGTTCACGACCTCACCTTCTCTCTTCTCGCCTCCCTCAAGCCGGGACAAACTCCTCGCGCAAAGGGCGGCCTCTGCATTGCTCCTCCTTTGAAAAAGGACCCCTGCCACAAGGTCCTCCTTCACTGTACTCTTCTGCCACCATCTCTCCACAGTCATCAGCTTCAGCCTCCTCGCGACACCCCTCTACTTTTGTTTGTCCTCTTCACGCTTCCATTTTCCTTTTCCTTTGTCCCTGTCTCCCTTTCCTTTGCCATCTGATTTTCCCTTCTCCCTGCGTCTTTGCCTTTGCCCCCTTTCGACCAATCCCTTTCTCCTTGCCACTCCCACGCTCGACCTCGGGAGTTCCGATAGTGAATCCGCTCCTCCTGTAGCACTTCTTTGCCTGCCTCCGACGCTTCGTGGGTGGACACGAGAGAAGCCTTTTCTGGTCCAACCAACTCTAGCCTTCTTGCGATGTCTGATTGGACCCCCTTTGCGATCTGTTCCAAGCTCTTGATCCTTTGGGAGGCCACGTCCAACGCGGCAGCGGGCCGTCCTCGCAGCATCAAATCCACCACCAAGCACCAATGCTGCATCTCCCGGCCCATGACAGGGCCGACCTGACTCTGAAGATGCTGCCTGTAGTACTGACTGGCCACTGGACGTAGGCTCCCCCCCACTGCTCGAGCTCAGGAACCCTTCTGCTAGGCCGGTCGGCAGGGTTTTGACTTGTATGCACATACCCCCCAACAGGGGTGTAGGTCCGCAGCGAGGAGCAACGAGTTGACTTTCACCAACACTGAGCGAAGTTTCTGACTGGAAGAACGGCCCCTAGACAAAGCATGCAAGCACACAAGACTGTCGATCAAGTGCAAGACACGACAACCACTCAACCGCCCTGCGCTGCACCATCCAGCGCAAAGTAGTCAACACAGCGCGCATCTCGAGGATGTTTTTGTGCTCACCTGAACGCTTCCCCCTCGCCACCTCCACAGCTTTGCAGGCACGCTTGTACGCAACCTATGGAATTTGACTTGTGGTTCACTGGCTGACTGCACCATCAAGTCCTCTCCTTTGATGGAAACCAAACCTAAAAGTTTGCGCAGCAACGGCCCTTCAAGGCGAGAAACCAATTTCCCAGAATGACTGCCTCTACCTGGAGTGAGGGCGTCCACGATGTCCTGCAGTGAACGACTCCTGCAAAGGCCTAACTTGTAGCAAAGCTGATACACCAACCACGCAATGACTCCTACCTGCCAGGAGTTGCCAACCAACGTGAGCCGAATGTCATTCCAACTTCTGGTCTTGTTTGCCAACGCAAGGACGGGTGTAACCCACAGGAATGCCCATACAGGCCTCACGCTCAGAGATATTTGGCAACCTGCCTGCACCTGCTTTGTTCCATAGGAGTTGATGGTCTCGATATTGGTATGGTGCGAAGCGATGCTGGTCATCCAACCAACGTTTTTTCTCATGCTCGGCACACCTATCCAAACCTGCAGGGCGTCGTCCTGGACTTGACCGAGGCCTGGAAGTCGTAAACGTTGGGAATTTGCAGCCTTCTGGCAAAGTCCAACCACTCTCCACCAAACACTTAGCATGAACCTGGGCGTTCAACTCCACCGATCCAGTGCTACTCCACGTGGACTCCCCGGGAGCAATCACTTGTGCTCCCTCCTGTGAGGTTAGTTCCCAGGAGACCCAATACAAGTCAATGAAGTAGGGGTGTAGCTCCACTGTACGACTCATGACCTCTCGATCTTCATCAGACATCGATGCCACTGACTCCATGAGCAAAAATGTGTCTGTGCCCAGGGGAAGTGTTCCTCAAACAGGGCCTTGATGCGAGGGACCTCCTGAAACAAACTACTGCGCGAGTCCAGCAAAGCACCCTTCCTTCCTGCATTCAAACCACTAACCCCCTGGCAGGGGGGACCTGCAGATATCAGCACCAGTCCCACCGAAGGGTACCGAAGACTAAGGTCACGCACCAAGGGGCCATCAACGGTCTGGACGTCATTGTGAAAGATAGCATCGGGGAAGTAGGACTCTACTACACGCTTTGCCGTCTCCTCCTTTTCCACACTCAGATGACCTGCCACTGGAATACCGAGCGCATCAACGGCCAAACGCAGAGCACCAAGTCCGTCAAACAAACCCACAGTCAACACTTGTGTGGTGTGAATCTCCTCCGGGATGTCCCCTCTTACCTCAGAGTCCAGTGCGGCCACACCATACCCCGTGAGCCCTTCGCTCACACAGAAGCCACCTCCTGCTTTCGACGCATCGCTACAAGTGACATGCTCTCCCAGAGGTAGTTTAAAGCTCATCTGCGCTAAGGGACGCAGCAAGATGAACCTCAACAGTTCTCTCGTGACCTGCCTGGGCAACGGCATGCGCACCACTGGGGGAAAGCGCTTCAAGCGTTCCACGAACCTCCAAACCTCATTGAGGGCACACAGCAAGGGCCTACGGAACATGCAGAAGTACACAAAACCACCACAGACCACCTGTAGCTCCTTCAAGGTGCAGTACCTCCGTTGCACAAGGCTTAGGCCCAAGAACACGTAGAGAAGCACTTTCTCCAGACGTGGCATGGCAAATCCTAGACTACCATCAACAATGGCGCCCTGTATTTCTGCCTTGAGAGCACGCTGAGGGGACTTCTTTGGATGGCGAGGCAAACCCAAACGGGAGTACTCCTCCCTCAAGGCTTGAACTGTCTGTGCCACTGTGCCCTGAATGAGTTCCGCTTGCTCTCGACTGTAGCGTTCCAGCAAGTCAAAATTGTCAAGGTAAACGCGAAACAACGAGGACGATGAAGACCCTATATACTCTATCACGTCTCATCTCTGTCTCACCTCCTAGACCTTGTGGGGTTGACTGCTGACTCCACTTCACCACGTTCCGGTGGATGTGCTGTGCGATCGATACACTGTTGATAAAGCCCATGGGCAACACCCTTGAAACCAAGACACAGCGCTTGCCCTTCCATTGTCGCGGAATCAGGGCTTCATCCACTTCTTTGTTGAAACCCAAAAACCTCTTCCATTCAGCGGGAACCTGGAACAGGTAGAAGAAACACCGAATATCCTCTGCACTCATCATCACTACTTCCCCCTCATCTAATAAGAAGCTTTGGAAAGAAGCGATTGACGGGAGGGTGCAAACTTCTCCCACCAGGGGTTCACAGACTTTGTTGAACGGAATAAGATTCATGATGAGTCTCTGAGTTTCAAGGGCCCCCACGAATTCACCCTTTCCGACCGCAAATAACCCGTTCAGCAAGGGCTCCTGACCGATGTGGTAGAGCTCTTCCACAGGCCAAACTTCCCAGATGCCGCGTTCCACCAGGCCTCTGCTGAGGGCTGTCCAGTCATCTCCAACCATAACCTTTGGGGGTCGCGTACGAACCGGCGTCCGACGGAATCAAGAAGTCTTCCAGACGCTTAATGTAATGAAGGGTGCCCTCAGTGCAGAAGTCAACCAACTTAAGCTGTCCAACCTGTTCGGGGAGTGAATTGCGAACCGCTTCCCAACACAAAGTCTGGGCAAGTCGAATCTCTTCCCCTGCATAGGTGACCCCTCTCTTTCTGAAAAACGAATCGAAGTCCACCGGGTCCATGTCCGATCCCAAACTTCGAATCTCTCGTATAGCATGCTGAGGTTTTCCGTCAGTCCCACGGGGCTTCGGGACGGTACAGGTCCACCCCCGTCATCAGGCTTTGTCTCATGTCCTGTAGCACCCCGCAAGACAACGCTCCACCAGGGACCCTTTTCCATATCTGCAGGGCCCGTCGTTCGGCCTCGAACAACTCGCTGGAACCGATCAGCTCCTCCGCAAGCTTGATGTGGTAGTCGAACTGTCGCTGACACTGTCGCTGTCCTGATCCTCTCTCCCTCGACTGCGGGAGCGACTGCCCTTCTTCTTCTTTTTGCGCCTTTCGCATCATGGTCTTTCTCGCCTGAGGATCTGGATCGACGCCGGTGCGATCGAACATGTTCTTCAACGGGGCCTCCAAGCACGGCCTTGTCTTCTCCTTCTCCTTCTTTTTTACCTTCTTCTTTGACACCTTCTTCTCCTTTTCTCCCTCGACCACGGGAGCAGCCCCTCCTTTGGGGGAGTACTCCTCAGCAGTCACCCCCTCCACGACACGCTTCATCTCTGTCCTCAACTTTGCGAGCTGATCTCCTGTGTCGTGCTCCTCCTGCACGCCAGCTCCTCGACCTCGAGCATCCTCCAGGTTTGTCCACCACTCCTCGACTGGATCTGACTGAACTCGGAGTCGTTCGCCACGAAGCAAGCTGTTGTTCCACACCTGGTTCTCGCAAGGCTGACTGCAGAGGTGGACTTCCATCTCCTTGCATCTTCCCGCGACTGCTTTGAGCAAGCTCTCTGTCTGAGTGCCCGTGACCAGAAGCCTCAACTTTCGATCTTCTCCGCGGAAGTTCAGACCGTTCACGACCCCCGCGACCAGACATGGAGCCTCCCAATACCTGCCTTCTACGATCACCTTGTCCAGGCCTCCAATCTCCTCCATGGACAGCTCCGGGATGGACCTCCACATCCCACTCGCTTCTCGTGCATCTCCCTCTCCAGGGCGAAGCGCAGGCCTTCTCAACACTCCTTCTCGTCCTCCTCGATGGCGACCGGGGGCCAAAGCGCGACCGGCCGGCCTCCGAAGCACCTTTGGCGGCATCACCTACGACCTTGCTCACGGTCGTATTCGTTCCACAGCCTGTAGTTGAGGTTCTTCTCCCGCTTGGTCCTGCCCTTGGATTCGGTAGGCTGATGTCCACGGTTTCGACCTGGCCAGTACCTGTAACCCTGGGACTTTGGGAAGGCTCGGTACTCGCTCCAAGCGGCAACGTCAACGTCGGTATGCCCCGGCGGCGGATGATCGGGTTCTTGCGGCTTCCTTCGAGGCAGCACCTTGTCTCGATCCTTTCTGCCTCCCTCGGACTCTTCACGGGAGGAGGCTCTTGTCGATGGCGGTGGGGCGGCTCTTCGTGCTGCTGGATCAAAGTGGGATGGCGGTGACTTGGGACGTGCTGCACGTTCTGGTTCAGTTGAAGCCTTTGTCGAACCTTTGCGTTCAGGATCAGGGTCAGGTGATCGAGCCTTCTTGGGACTTCTTTTGGCCTCGACGTGACTCCGGGAGCGCTTGCTTCTCCCCCTACTGGCACTTCTGTCCTCTCTTGGAGACTTCTTGCCTTCTGACCTGCGTCGACGGCGGCGGGACCTTGATCTCTTCTTCTTCTCACGTCGAGGATCTTCCGGGGTAGTCACGGGAGGCTCACTGGTTCCTCCCACTCTGCGGCTAGTGGGTGCTGAAGTCGCTCCTTCCTCCTCGCTGGGCTCCTCCTTCTCCGATGACTGTTCTTCCTTCTCTTTGACTCTGGCAGGAGTGGCAGTTCCTCCAGAGCCTTTCTCTGTCTTGAAGGCTGGTGTCGAGTAGGTGGCAGCCCCAACACCCTCAGCCGAGCGGCTCTCCGCGTCGTCGAGCAGCTCCAGGTAGCACTCTCTCAGCTTCCTCACACAAGATCGTGAGAATTCCTCGCCCAATCGCTGATTGTAGACGAGGAGTAGGAGCCGCTGGGAGATGAGACACAACTGGCGCTTACACTCGCGCCAGTTGTGAACCTCCCCCATAAGCTGAAGCCGAGAATCTGCGGAACACAAATGCGGGATTCGTCTTTAAATACGAGTACGTAAGTCATATGACAGCATCGTTCCCCAAGTGGCTACCCTTCTGATCTGACCTCCGTCCTCGCCAAACCCACTGAACGGCCCACGAATCTCTCTGCCGCTTCGGAACTCGCCCGTCCAAGGTTCGAAGCGCTCGGATCCAAAAAGCAGTCCGAAGAATGCCCTGGACGAGTTCCACCAGTGCCAGGCAGGTTTCCAGCTCTTTCAAATCCCCACGGAACGGCCCAGCACGGCCCCTGAGTTGCATAATTTGGACCCTCATTCTGTACCATTAAGATCCACTGGTTCGCTTTTACAGGGCTTGAGGAGGCCTGGTGCGTTGTGGGCGTGTGTGGTGCTGTAATCCCTGTGGAGATCGCATAGGGGTCTCGCGAATGGGGTCTTGGTGGGACCTCACGCACAAAGGAGTCTCTTGGGGCAGCATTCTAAGGTGTAGAAGCCCTAAACCTGATTAAAACTATATATTTAAAACTCCCCTCAAAGTGAATTGATGTACCAGTGACCAGTGATCTTCGTTGTGCGTAGTGACCCATCCACCGAAGGTCAACCCGCCACCGAGGGGGTCTCGAGGGGGTCTTTTCCGCAGCTTCGCAGCTCTAGTCGCGTTTTCCCGACTCCCTCCCCGCTCCATGATTTCATGCCCGGCTGTTCTATGATCTTTCTGGTGGTTGACTCCATTTCCGGGCGTCCTGGGGTCCATCTGCACCGTCTTCTGCTTGTCGACTCCATCTTTGCCATCACGGTCATACCTGGCCAGCAAAACTCATCCAACCTGAACCTTTCCAGAGCGACATCAGCCAAGCTTTGACCAAGCTTTGAGTAAAAATCAACAAAGCTCCCGGATTCTTCGAAAAGAAAATTGGCTCAGAAAACACCCCACATCTGCAGTTATGCTCCCTCGCAGCTGGGACCGCGCTTCTTTCGGAGTTCGGGATCTGAAAGGACCTGCCGGGCCAACCGCGCCTTCCAAATTTACAGCTCCTTCCCATTGGGATAACTCCTTCCTTCTCTAATTACTACCCTTTGCTATCCTTTGGTCACCAAATTCACTTCAAACGTCGTCGAAATCTGACCCACTTGCCTGGTAGATAGTACTCAGCCTTGGCCATGCCGGAATGCCAAGAACAACTATGCATGAGCTAGGATTCGGTTTCTAATAAGGAATCTCAGGCATTTACTTCTGGAATTTTGCTGTGGCCTCAGCATCCCCAGGATTTTTGTCAGGATGGCACCTCAGACTCCGTGGAAAGGTCGTGCCCACATGGACACTAGGAGTCAATATGTGCCGCAAAGGATCAAAGTCAGCGCGCTTAAAGATTGATGGGGTGAGCTTTGTTTGGGTGTGGGGTATGCGAGTGTTGTGGGTGAAGTTTGTACACCACAAGGGCAGCATCATAAACCAACGTCAGCGAGTATCATTGAGTCATCGGTGTCATCACAGCATCATCGAGCACAATGTTCGCACAACAGCACCCCATCGCACTTGGATTCTTGTCGTGCTGACCACTGGTCGGTTGTACCCCAGGTGCGAAGGTTTTGGCATCGCACGTTGCAACAAATGGGGCCAAGTGCTGCTGAATCCATCAATCAACCCCGGGGGCGCAACCCAGAATCTATCTTTCCCAAAGATAGATACACCAAATTCAACAAAGCGGGCCTTCAATTTCAGCGCAGCGCTTCTCCCAAACAGCTCTGATCAAATAGCCCGCTCTAAGCGTTATCACACACATGTTATCACTGTCCAGTCAGGGTACGCATTGCAAGGACAGCGCTAGAGATCCAAGCCAGGAGCCAAAAAGCTCTAAGTCTCCAGCAGCCTTGCCTCTTTGTAGTATGCCTCAAAAACCGGCATTGTCCGATGTCACAACAGCATTCCTCTTTGCGTGAGCTACAAGGCTTGGCGCAGCCAGGCCTTCTTGATCTCAGAGGGGTTGGCGTTCGGCCTTGGGATTTCTATCGGGTGTGGTCTTGAGAGCCCATCTACAGCTTGTGGATGTGACCAAAACACCTCGGCGGTTTTCTAGGGAAGTGCCTGCAAGCACTTGTGGCGAAGCTTCTGTGCCCGCGAATTCTGCCAGACTTTGTGCTGACGCTGGACATTCAAGAATGCTGCAGCTATACACCAACAGCTTGAAGGCTATGTTTGGCGGCCATGTGCTGCCACGCTCACGGAAGAAGACACATGCCCAAGGTGAAACTCTACCTTTAACCAATCTCTGACCTATTTCATCCTATTTCTCAGTCATCTCCATGACCTCAAGACTGCTAGTTGCACTCACGTTCGAAACGTCAATTCAGTAGCGTCCAAAAACGACTCCTTCTGCCCAGTGGCAGGTGTCCAAGTGGGAGGGAGCGGTCCACGCTGCGCCTCCAAAGCTCGCTCCAGAAGCTGTGCAGCTGCTGCATCAGGTTCCTGAAAGGCTTGGATTCACCCGGACAAAGCAGGTTCTTGGATAGTGCAGGAAGTTGATGCATGGAACTTTTTTAAAGAAGCACCCAAACAACGCTCCTGCGCCAGCAGCCCTTGCAGCAAGCGAACGGCAGTGACCTTGGCTTGCAAATCACGATCATCACGCAGGTGTCTAGCATTTCCGAGCTGCGAACGGTACCCGGTACATACAACACCATCTCAAGCTGCTGAAAATGAAACCACCGATAGTTGCCTTGATCTATATAGCACCAAATATTCTAGCATGCCTCGCCAAATCCAATACTGTAATGACCATGCGGTTCCTTTGCTCCATTGCAGTTGAGCCAGTTTGCTTCGTCTTCACCCCGTCTTCCCTCCCGCTGGACAAGTGGCAAAATCTCTTTGGTGAAAGGCGTGAAGCGCCTGCTCATACATCTGCACTTTCACTCGTCTCTCTGGGCTTGGAATCTCATGGATCAGCTCCTTAGCAAAGTACGAGAAAGAGATAGCACAAGTTATGTCTATGGCTCGTCCAATCTGACAACAGTCAGTGGGCCACACACCTTTTCCGCTTTAAAATTGCCTTCTTTCTTAGAATCGAGAAGGGGCTCGGAATCATGCTAATCATCAAGCTGTCCATCTTCTGTACCGTTTAAAGTAGCATGGAGGGACGTATTGTGTAGGCTGTAGCAGAAAACAGTCACCCAGTGACCTGTTGCAGTCTGAGGGTCATAGATCCACACGGCTTCCTCTTTGCCCTTGACTTTAACCAAATCCAGCTTCCGGCAAAAGAAGGCAGCTGGCAACTTGGAACGGGTGGCAGAGGAGCACAGCGTGCTAACACCGTAGTGCTTCGCGAGGCCTGTCGTCTGGGCTCTGCCTTTGAAATAACACTGGCATGAAACATCCAAAAGATCGGTGTAGCTCACTTATATATGTGACAAAGCTGAGACATCGAAACCATCTGTCCTTCTAGGCGACTTGCAAGATTCACAGGATCACCCATGCAGCCATACTTCATTTTTTGGCAACTGCCAATGTTACCGGCGAGGACATCCTCAGGCTAGTTCAGCTGGCAAGCTGGTGCTCACTTTACAAGCTTCCCTTCCAATCAGTGGAGGGCAAGATTACACTGCCAACCCAAGAGTTGCGAAATAGTCGTAGCGGGCAGGTAAATCTGCAAGCCGGGTGCATAGATGCAAACACAATCTTGTCCAAATGACAAGGAACTCCGGTGTGCAAACCGATTCGGATTGCAATGCTTGGCAAGCCAAGGCTGGCGTAGGCATCATTCAACTTCACCAAAGCCTCCAAAATGTGCAAAGTAGCAAAGCGCCGAGCGCCTCATGTTGGTCAAAAACTGGCAAGTTTTCTTGGTCGAGCCTGCTGTTGTGCGAGTGCAGCAGCGCAAGCTGCCCGAGGGTGATCCTGCAAGTGAACATTTATCCGATTGCAACATCATCACATGGGGCGCGTGTATGGTGTATTATACTATATAACTAAATCTATATCGAAAACAAGGAACTCTAAGAGGGCACACAATTGACCGTATTTCACCACCCAACATGTTCAAAATCAATAGGACCGTCCGGCAGGTCATCTGGCGTGTTCCAAAGAACCAGCAAGCCATCTCCGAGAATCTCCTGAGAATCGCAGGGTTTCGGAAAAGTCGCGCCCGTCGTGCTCGTCGCGCTAGTTGTTAAGACAGAAGCCTCAATCTTAATCTCGTGGCAATGAGCCACTTGACGCGTCCTTGTAAGAGAAGAGGATGGGAAACACCGCTTGCGTAGAGGTTCCCCCACCCTACCACCCAGAGGGA